CCTAAGCCTTCCCTAAACCCTAAACCCCAAACCCTAAACCCTAAACCCTAAACCCTAAACCCTCACCCCTACGCCCGAAGGTCCCTTAGGGAGCGGGCTGAGAGCGACCATCCCCGAGATGTCGGGCGCTATGGTTTTCTCGATGCGGCCGGGGGCAGCGGTTTGGGGTTTAGGGGGTTTAGGGGGTTTAGGGGGTTTAGGGTTTAGGGTTTAGGGTTTTGGGGTTTAGGGGTTTGAGGTTTAAGGTTTTGGGTTTAAGGCCTTAGGGATAAAGATAAAGGTTTAGGGCTTCAGGTTTAGTGTATAGGGATGAGGGATATAGGGTTAGAGATGTAGGGTTTAAGGTTTAGGGCTTTGGGTTCAGAGTTTCGGGTTCATGGTTCAGGCTTTAAGGCTTTAGGGTTGGGGCAATGTGGGTGTAGGATTAGCGTTGAAAGGGCATGGAACCGAGCCTCAAGCCCCACGATCCGGGGCTTGCGCTTCAGGTTTTGAGTGTCTTTTGTGGCCCAAGCAGATACTCAAACAACCCTAAACCCTATATTCTGGGTTGGTGGTTGAAATGAAGTGGAAGGTGCATTTTGAGAGTCTAGAGGACCACAGAATTTGTTGCAGCATCGATGTAAACCTTGGACAACCTCGCCTGTGAGCATAGTTCGCTGCCATGCGAGAGGGGAAAAATACACCAATACTCTAAACCAAGATGGTGCCTTAAGGTACTTATTTGGGCTTTTTGGGAATTGGGGTTTAGGACTCGAGCTTCAGGCTTTGGGGCTTGTCCCTTGGAAATGGGAAGTTCCGGTGGTTTTGGTGTAATGTAGAGGCCTCAATAACCACCAATACTTTTTTTCGGGTTTCTAATTGTAATTAAAGTATAATGGTCCAAAAACCCTATTCTAATTATTAAGGCCTCTACTGTAGGTTTCTAGGGATCAGGTTTTGCTTCAGAATTTGAGTTGCAGTGTACGGTAGGTTTCGGAGGACAACTTGCAAATGGGGTTTAGGGTTTAGGGGTTTAGAGTTTAGGGTTTAGCGGTTTAGGGTGTAGGTAGGCTTTATCTAGAGGAGCATCGGGACGGGGCTTGCTGCCTATGCTCATGCAGATGGTCAGGTTCATAAGGCCCAGACCATATGATGATAATGACGATGATGATGATGATGAGGAGGGCAATGATGATGATGGTGATGAGGATGTTGTTTCTACTAAGTCTACTACTACCCTTATCACCATCCTCATCATCATCGCTACTGTTATTAGGCTAATTTTGGGTGTTTGTCGGGGTACCGGCCCAAACCAGCCGCCCCCAGCAGCCCGGTCGCCCTTTCCATGATGCGCCGTTTTTATGCGAGCGCTTCCGGATTTTAGAGTAGAGCACCCAATCCAGACGCTGCGTGGAAAAAGGGGGTAACATGGCAGTCGCGAGTTGCTGAAGCTGTAAACTACACCGCCGAAACCCTAGCCCGAGGCTAAACCCCAGCCCTAAACCCTAGCCCTAAACCCTAGCCTATATCTAATGGCTCGCCGGCACGAATCTTTTATCCGAAGCTGTGAGGCACAGTTTAAAATGAGGGTTGGAGGTCTTTCCGTCGTTGCCTTGGGTTTTTGTCTTAGTAGGGGCTGAACTTTGTGATTTCTTTGCAGGTACAGTGTCTTAAGGAGATAACTGCAACGTTTGAGTTTGCAGTGTTCCAGGATGTTCCAGGTATGGTTCCCAATTTGCTACGTCAGCTCCCTTTTTGCATCAGGACTTGTGCAATCGCCTGAATACGTCAGCTCCCTACACCCTAAACCCTACATCCTAATCCCTAAACCCTAAACCCTACTCCCTAAACCCTACTCCCTAAACCCTACTCCCTAAACCCTACACCCTAATCCCTAAACCCTAAACCCCACTCCCTAAACCCCAAACTAGACCCCCAGCTCCAGATCCTGGAAGAGGGTTCAGGGCAGCATTCCCCAGACTGTCGGCCCAAATGCGCGCGTCTAAATTAGGATCCCTCTCCAGGTCCCCAAAATAGTACGGCACCCGTACAGAACGAACCCTAAACGGGATCCTAATTTCTAACAGACAAAATCCTGCGACTCCAGGATCCGAAACTAGCTTTAACCATCCTTAACCCTAAACCCTGGACCCGGTTTAGCTCAAAAAAAGACCCTAAACTGTCTTAGCCTTAAGCGCATGCGCATCTCTTGTTGCCGCACGCCTTTGCAGCCGTGAGCCTTGGATTTGGCATAGGCTTTAGGGTTTAGGGTTTTTTGGATTCAAGATCTTTTGAGATCTTCTAGGGGTTTATGCAAGTTTAGGTTTGTGGGGGTTTTCGGATGCCACAAGTAGCCAGTGCCGGCTCCCGGGATTTGGGGTCGCGGCCGGGAGGTTCAGGGTTTGGAATCCCGATAGTTTGGGGTTCAAGCGATTTAGGGTTTAGGGTTCAGGGTTTAGGGGTTTAGAGTTTAGGGGGCCTTGTAAGATTGCAGCCTCATGGTTTCAGCGCTAGCTTGAGCCATGGAGGATGGCACACAAGAAGCGCTGCGACCCGAGTGTTTTCGGGGTGGCCAGCTCAAGCACCTCAAGCCTTGAGCCCTTACCATTTGGGGTTTGGGGCATAATGAATGTAGGGGCCTAAATAATTGCCTATACTATTTTGGGGGTTCCTTAGTAGAATTGTAGTATCATGGGCCCCAAAACCCTATTCTAATTCGTAAGACCCCTATATTATGGGCTTTAGGGTGCGGGGTGCGGTGTTTAGGGACTAAACCCTAAGCCCTAAACCCTAAACCCTAAACCCCAAACCCTAAACTCTACGGTTGTTGGTGCGGTCGCCTTCTGGGTTTTGCTGGGGGCTGCTCTAAGCTATGCTGTTGTATCACACAGAATCACGCTGGCTTGGTGACTTTATTAGTGTTTGGGGTTTGGGGTCAAATAAGCCTTGAAACCCTAAACCCTAAACCCTAAACCCTAAACCCTAAACCCTAAACCCTAAACCCTAAACCCTAAACCCTTCATTCGTTTGCGTTGTTGTGTTCTGTTACTACTTAAGGGGCTTTGTGCTCCCTGGTAGGTCAGTTGAACAGTCCAGCCTTAACCAAAACCCCTGAATAAATCCAGCACCCTAAACCTTAATCCCGTAAATCCCTAAACCCTAAACCGAGACCATGTGGTGCACATGCAGCACCCATATTCCTTCCCCACAGCCCTTTTCTAATCGTTAAGGCCCCTATACTCAACCCTTATAGTCACTCTCATAAACCCCTTTTGCAGTGGAGTCTCTTTCCCAAATGGAAGTAGGCATGCATGTGTACCTGCCTTGGTGATGCACGTCCCAAAACCCTAAACCCTAAACCCTAAATAAACCCGAAACTTAAAAACCCTAAACCCTAAACTCTATAAGCCCTAGTTACTCAGGCCCCGGGTCTGGGATTCTAGAGCCTCCGCAGCTGCTTTGAACCCCTAAGTCAGCACGGCGGCCTTTAGAAAAGCGGGGCTTTGGGGAGGGCTTTTGGGGTTTTGGAGTTTTCGGCTTTAGGGTTTCGGGTTCTGGGTTTAGGGTGTGGGGTTTAGGGTTGTAGCAGTGGCTGGCTTCAAAAAAAGCGTTGTGGGTTGTGGGTTTAGGGTCTAGAGTTGAGGGCTGTGATCGGCGAAAAACGTTCGGTCTGGACGTCTTTGGACACGCATAGGATTGTAATGCCTGGGAGCAAAATGGTTTTAACTAGAGGTTTCGGGCTTTAGGGTTTTAGAGTCTTAGGTTTTAGGGTTCAGGGTTTTAGGGTTTCGGGTCGTTGTAGGTAGGCAAATAGGTCGGTGGATAGGTAGGTTGGTATGTGGGCAGGGAGGTGGGTATGTAGGTAGGCAGGGAGGTAGGTAGGTAGGTAGGTAGGTAGGTAGGTAGGTAGGTAGGTAGGCACGTAGATAGGTAGGTAGGTGAGTAGGTAGATAGGAAGGTAGGTGGATAGGTGGGTTTTTAGGCTTAATTGTTTTAGGGTTTAGAGGTTTGCAGGGTTGAGGCCTTTGCCCCCGAAGCCTTAAATCGTCAATAAACCCGAACCAGTATTTGGTAGATTGCGCGCTTAGGGGATTTTGTCACTTTCCCCGGCCGACCCTAAACCCTTTTCCCTAAACCCTAAACCCCTAAACCCTAAACCCTAAGCCCCTAAACCCTAAACCCCCAAAGCCTAAACACCTAAACCCTAAACCCCTAAACCCTAAACCCTAAGCCCCTAAAGCCTAAGCCCCT